TTAATCTGGTCAACTAAATAGCATAAATTGCTGTCAGTTGTATTACTCAGTGACATAAAAATGTCTGTTTCACATTATTCAATTTTGATTTAGCTTGTTTTGCTTACAGCTTGGGGCCTTCATCTGTTGGTGTTTATATTAACAATCTTTCAGTTTACTGTTGAATCATAGGGCTGGTAAGCAGGACAAAGAGTACAAACACATGACATGTGGTTTACTTCCCCCCTCTCTACATGATATGATCGTAGCAGATGAAGATAAAACACGCACTGTGTTTAGGTTTATGCGTCAGCAGGTCATTCCCATTGCTTGTCCTACTTGTCATTCATGCATTTTGCTTTGACTAACCTATTTTCCTTATGATGAGTGCTTACAGTATTTTGGTTAGTTCATTATTTTCCTTCCTGCTGGAGATTTAGAAATGAGAGTGTTTATTTGTTTTACTGGCAGTTTACATTCTTCTATCTTTCAGTTAATCAGACTTGTTTATGTGTGCAAACACGAGCTAAAACTGACGTCACCGTAGAATAATTGCAGAGATCTTGCTGTGTATTTTGCTGCAAATACCGTACACCATGTAAGTCAAATGCAAAGTGCACAAACGGGGATATCACGCAAGTACACAAATGCTTTTATACTGCACCTGGGAAAACCTTAAAATGTTTTTCCTGGCTTCCTTTGCTCATGCTTAATGTATCATAATGGAAAGCACTGCAGTTTCACATTCAGGAAATGGACTCTCAAATAGCGGAGATATAGGGGCCATTTTTGAGTGAAATGAGTTGCAGCGTCACTGACCACTTACTCTTCACCAATTTCCTCCATCCGGCATGTTCATGAATAAAATGAGCTCACAGTGGGATGTGGAGGGTTCATTATCAGCCAACACAGCATAATTTGCTGATCTGAGCAATGATAGGCATCTTGGACATGCGTGCAGGAGCTGAGAGCAATGTGAACACAATGTCCTCATGCTCGAGTGGCGAAGAGTGCACTGATTTCGGAGAGTCATTATCAACAGGCACGCATTCAACCCACACACAATTATCAATTACTGTAACAACTCTTCTCAGATTCTCTAGAGACCAGATAAGTGCAGGGCAGTTTTTTTTCCTCCAGTCCTATTATGTCTGATTGCTGTAGCCCCACCAATTGAAGTCAAAAAGTTGAGTAAATGTACAATCCTGCAAAATGGAGTACAGTGGTTTAAATTTAAAGATTTGTTCTTCATATAAAAAAAGTAAATAAACCTTTCTGTGCAAACCCACAAGACATCCACATCCACAAGTGTGCATGTTTTGCAGCTGCATTTTAAAACAGTGGGACAACTCTGGAGGCTGTACTAGTGATTAGTTGGTCATAGTTAGCCCATACCATAAACTGTATTCAGGAGCTGGACATAGCTAGTTACCATCTTGAAGTTTATGCTACCATCATTACCATCTTAGTTTTATGAGGTAAGGAACTATCACAGACCTGACTCTAAAACTGAGGGACACTACACCTCCGTAGAGTAGAAACTTGTCAGTCACAAACTAGACTTGCCCTAAAGTATACCCTGCTTCATTGTTCTTTTAGACAATAATGAGGACCAAACTTTGCAACATGACCATCGTGCTATATTTGATAAGTGTGAAACTAGTGATTCAGCCCATTAATCTATAAGCAAAGGTTCTACTGAAGCCACAAATCAAGAAAACTAAGTGCCCTGTTCCCATACTATTGAATTTTCTCAAATGACGTCATGCACACTTTACCCAAAGTTGTCCAGCAAACTGGATGCAATAGTGTTATGGGGAAAAAAAATCCCCCACCTGGTTGGCAGTGCTTCCTGGAGGTTGCTCCCACTCTCTGGATGAAGTGAAGGTGCTGCACTAAAAACCTTGCTGGCAGATTGCCACAGTTGCCTGTAGTTTTTCATGTTTGTCTGCAAACCGAAAAAGTGTGATCAAAACCAGAAAAAATAAGTAAAAGTTGTACTATAGCACTGCAGTCAAGATGTTTCCAAAGATGTTTCCTTTCCTATTTCACACTCGGCTGCGAACCGCTCCAGTGCGAGCTGGAGGCCACCACCTGATGAAGCCAACATAACCACATCATCTACAAAAAGCTGAGACAGTTTTCTGAGACCATCCAGTTGGAAGCCTTCCACCACTGGACTGTACCTAGAAATTCTGTCCATAAAAATTATGAACAGAATCGGTGATAAAGGCCAGCCCTGGCGGAGTTCAACTCCCACTGGGAATGAATCGGACTTATTGCCAGCTATGCAGACCAAGCTCCTGCAACGGTTGTATAGGGATCAAATTGTATAGCAACGTGCCAGACACCCCATAGTCCTGAGGCACCTCCCACCGTTGAATGCCTTCGAGTCCACAGAACACATGTAGACTGGTTGGTCAAACTCCTTTGCCCCTCATGTATCCTTGAAAAGGTAAAGAGCTGGTCCAGAGTTCCATGACCTGGGACAAAACCGCATTGTTCCTCCTTTATCTGAGGTTCAACTAACGGATGGACTCTCCTTTCCAGCATAAAGTGACATAGACTTTTCCAGCGAGGCTGAGGAGTGTGATCCCCCTATAGTTGGAACATACCCTCCGGGCCCCCTTCCTGAAGATGTGAACCACCATCCCGGTCTGCCAATCCAGAGGTACCCCACCTGATCTCCACGCAAAATTGTAGAGGTGTATCAACTAAGACAACCCTACAGGATCCAGAGCCTTCAGGAACTCAGGGTGAACCTTGTCTGCCCCAGGGCTCCTGCCGCTTAGGAGTTGTTTAAATGTGATTTCAAGGCATCCTTGTCTGTTACTTTCATTCAAACTACGACCACAGCACAACACACCACACAGACCAGTGACCGACAATCATTTTCACAATGACTGCCATCAAACTCCAGGAAGTACTCCCAACTGGTTGGGAAACTGATTTTTTTCTTCTTCTTTCTTTTTCAGACAGAGACCATGCCAGATGGTCTCTGGCTGGTCGCTAAACCTGTGACTGGAGTTTTATCCCTTGATCCTACATTGTCACCATGATTGTCACACATGGTTAATGGTCACATCAGAGGAGTTGGTCCCTTGTGGTTAGTGGAAAGAACACAGGTTTAATGTACATTTGCCTTGGCTTCTATTTTTAGAACTGGAAGCTATGTGTATCTTGGTTTGAATTGCCATAAAATTTTGTACAGACAGAACTAAGATGGCTCAAAAATGTATTATTTCAAGTTATATTATAACAGTAAAACACAACAGGTTATTCCAACCATGCATTCAGACAGGACGATTTGATTATTTACAGTTTTTCTGTTCATATTTTGTGTTATTATGAGACTATCTATATGTCTATATATCACTCTCTCTGTGTGGACTTATATTTAACTTTGGACTGACATATCAGTCAGCGTTCAGCTCTAAAAATAACCAAAAGAACGAGAGTTTTGATGCTGTTTTTGATCTGAACCCTCTGTGCGACTGTGCATATATAGCCTTCTTTCACTCCTCTGGAGCATAAAAGCTTGTCTGAGAGGGTTGAGGTTCGTTAGGTGTGACCTCGTTCTACATATTTAGAATACAGAGCAAAGAACTGGTTGTGCTGGAGCAGGCTTTGAATCTAGGGTACGTTATCTTCATCACAAAACTGTACTGTGGGACTATGATCCCTTTACAACCCAATCAGAGCGGTACCATCTTTCGATTGATAGGCTGTAATTAAACAGTGTGGTGTTTTAATGTGGTAAACATGCACTGTTAAATATTTCAGTCTGCTGCAAATAGCTTTTAAGACATATTTTTCTGTATTTAGGGGCATCTGAAAGTCACACTGGGCTTGCTGGATAAAAGTGTGTGTCCGTGTACAGGTGTTGTGCAAACATACCGCCTGTGTTTATATTACATTGTGTGGAATTACCTGGCTTATGGGGTCAATTGGGGGTCAATCTCCCATGACATAAATCGTTACTCTTTGTTGTAAAGACTTTGTTTAAGGTTTTATCAAGCTAAGCTTTGGGTAATTGTTAAGGGATTAGTTTATCGCAGTTCATATACCTAAAGCACCTCACAGCGGGAAGCTATCAAGTGGGCTTCAAAGTAAAAGCATGTTGTTTCTGTTATTTTGCCCCCTCTGATCATATAACATGCCTTAGTGTTTGTTTGATGTACGAAAGAAACTGTAAGCTAAGAGTGTGCTCGTTTTGGTCCTGCTATGACTTCTAAAATTAACATCCTGCTGCCACTTTATGTTTGCTTTTACAATTTCTGTGCAACATGCAGAATACTGGAGAAACCTCTTGCCCTAATGGCAAACTTTTACAGATTAATGCCAAAATGATGTAGGTTATTATGATCATTATTACTATTGTTTAACCACTGTCCTCTATAAATTCTTTCCATCCAAAGAAACTTATAAAATAAGTATTTTTTAACTTACTGCTATTTTATTAAAACCACAACGGTAGGTGAATCTCGGATAACCAACTTCACTCATGCTTTTTTTTTGTAATATATAAAGATAGAATTTAAATATAAACATATAATTTAAATTAGCATTAAATTAAGAAGAAAATGTAAAAAAAAGAAATCTACTAGACCCCAAGCAATTTCTACTTAGGTTCAATGCACAAAATGACAATTTGAAATGAAAAAAAGAATAATCAGTCTCTGTATTTTAAAACCTCAAGAGCTAATAGTATTGTTGCGGATCAAATATAAATAATTAAATAAATAAATAACCCCTCAAATCAAATAAACACCTCCCAGGACTATTGAAGGACTCTTTTTGAACCTTTTTGAATTGATGAAGATACATTATTTTAATATAGTTGCACTTTGTTGTTTGTTCGCTTTTATTTATTTATTTTTTCAGTTTTATTTTAAAAATTTCTTTGCCTGAAAATGTTTGAATGAAAATTTTATGACATTTATTCCTAGTAAACAGTCTTATTTTGAAACATATTACCGGATGTAACGTCAGTTTTTCTCACCAGCTTTCCGCCTCTCTAATGAAATACGAGCAGCTCCCGTTCAGCTCCTCGCAAAGCAACAAACGCGCTTTCAGCGACAGGAAGAGTAACGAGACAGCTTGAGCAAGACTTGAACATGCAGTTTTGTCAGCTCAGCCGTGGCTAAAGTTACGAGTTTGTGGATAAGACAATTTAAAAAGAAGAAAAAAAAAACATTCCCGAGGCATCCTGATTTTCCTCCTCAGATTTTTCCACAACAGAGCAGAGCAACTGTCCCGGACTGTCCACAGCACTCTGTATACGGTAGGCTCTAACTAACCTAACAATCAATGAAAACATGATACAGTTAGTGTGCGTGGCTTTATGTCGGGGTTTGAGTTGTGCCAAAGCATGTGTGTCTTATTGTTTACTTTGAACGCACAGATATCCAACTTTGTCACACCTACTCCACACAGGTGTATGATTGGGAAATAAAGAGTAGGTTCTTTTTCTTTTGCACTTTAAAAAGTCTCACTTCCCTTTTTTCTTTATTATCGATGTGTTCATCGCTCATGACAGGTTGGGTGGGTTTAGACACAACAAAGTGCCTCCTGTAGTGTATCCAGACTCATTTCCTGTCCAGACTTCAGCTTCAGTGGAGATTATAAATCAACAGTTTCCTTATCGTGGACTTTCAGTATGTCCTCCTCATCGGTCTCTTTAAGACTAATCTGGTTTCTTTCTATCTTATCTGTTTAGAAATGGAGAGCTGGCTAATTGCTGTGCATTATTTTAGTCTTAGGGACATGATTGCTTTTCTAGGAACTACTTAAAGTTGTCATTTCTATGAAGAATCAGTGGGTGTCTTTCACCCGATCTCCTCAAAATTTGTATGTACAATAACCTAAGCATGTTGAGTGCTAAAAGTGGGCCCTCGTGGCAATAAAAGCCTTTAAATTTTACCCAAAATACACCTTAGTTTTCTTTTGTCCCCCTAGCGAACTATAAGAAACCAATAAAACATTCACATTGGCAGCAATTCTTTCTGTTAGTTTATGTAATATATTAAATTTGTGAGTTTTGGTTGGTTGTTACACTTTGTGTGGATGTATATTTGCTTTAGCCCTTAAATTGTAATGTGGACATCAGTAGGCTAAAGTTATATTAGTTATTAGTCAGTTATTAAAGTGATTATTATAAGGAATAAAACCTTGTTATTTGTTTCCACCCACACTTTGGGTCTACATGATGTGGAATGTGTTTTTCCTTTGTGGCTTTCTGGTCTTTTCTAAAGCTAGAAATGACCAAACGTGCAGCATCACAGGAGACCTGAAAATCTAGGCCTGCTCCACAGGCGGTGAGTTTGTTTTAGGATTGGTTTGCTGCTGTCAACCAGAATGAATAACACCAGCAGGAGCTCAGAAAAAGTTTTACTTAACAACAAGCAAACATGAAGTCTTTGGGGGCAGTGGCAGATTTTATGACCCAATGACAACAGAAAGTAGGAGAGAGCAGTTAACATTCACTCAAGTACTGCCTGACCTGCCCCTGGGACAGAGCAGCAACATATGTGAATTCTTAAAATGAATGGCATTCCCCCCGTGACGCTGTCTGCAGTGGAAATTGGCTCGACTCAGACGCACATTTACAGTACTGTTGCCCGGTGTGCTGTGAGGCCACACTTTGATTAAAATTAAAATCTGTGAAACACAAAAAAGTTTACATCTATATTAAGAAGGATTTATGCTGCCAAAAAACCCTAAGTGCACTTATTTTAATAATGAGGTAAAAAAACAACAACATTCCCTCTATTTTACGTTCGCAGCTCAGTCATCTGTAAACAAAAGGCCAAATGCTTGGAACAAGATAACATAGTAAAGAGCAAACAAAGCGAACAGTAGGGCAAGCTCCGGCCTTCAAACCCCCACAACTCTGCAGGATGCTGTATTGAAATTTCTTCTGCTTAAACATACAAAACAAGGTCAAACCCGCACCTGAGCAGCTTTGTCAGTGAGAGGCTACGCAGCCTATTTGCATTGATAATTTGTCCAGTGATTTTTCTAAGCACATGGCAGCTTCCCTAATTTCTAAAGGAGTGCTTTGTCAGCATAAAAGAGCACTCCTGACACTAAGACATATCCCGCATTGTGTTTTTATTTTCTTCTCTTTTTGCATGATGGGTGAATCATGACTCTCGATGTTTAGGGTTGGGGTGTGATGACCAGTATTTTGCTTGGTTAACAAATCTGTGTTTGTTTTGTTTTTTTCTGTCCTGTATTGTATATGTTGAAACCTTTAAATAAAAGTGTCAGTAGGGTGCTTGAACCATCAGTCACACAGGCCTAGAGACCAGTTGGCGACCACCCCTGGGAAAATGTTACCTGACCCCGTGGTTGACGAGTGGTTGCTGGCTGTCCCTGCCAGAGAGGGTGTTGCAATGAACCCTCTTTTGGTCATTTGCAGATTGCCACAGTTGCCTGTAGTTTGCATGTTGTTGAGTTTATTCATCCTAGTTAAAGGCTGCATGTGGGAAAACACCTATTACACCTACAAAACTCCCAAAATCCAAGACTAGTCAAGCTGCAGAAAAGGTTTTGCTAATTCAGGCTTGCAAATACTTATGTGCTCATTTAATGTAATCACATTTTTCAGCTTTTTATGTGATTATTATGAAACAAACTGTGTGTATGAGACACTGGTGGCCTTGAGGCACCGTATGTGCTGCCAGTTAAAATCACCCCAAGCACTAGAAGAGAAAGCACTGTTTTGATAGGGAGGTTTACTTTAGTGCAGTGCGCATTTGGTCATGTAATGTGTCTTCTCGCGGCACCACACCTTGTTTGTTTCTAGTCAGACTTGTTTTAATCAGGAAGGCTGAGCTGGAGGTATGAGTGTATATTAGTATTAAAAGGCCATATTGTTTTTGTTTTCTCTGATACTTCTCAGTTGTGCTGCTGTGAACGTTGCCCTTGAGCTCTTTAAACTAAAGGTCGTGGCCCTCTATTGTTTGTTTTATGCTGTACAAACTGTCTCCTTGAAGGAATAATAATATGAGAGAAACTTTAAAAGACAAGGGAACAATGGCAAGATAGCGGGAGCTGTCAGGAACGTAAAAACATGTGTTGTATTTAGTCTTCGTGAGGGCCCATCACGCCACATGAAGTGCAGATTTAGTAATTACTGGGTTTCTTTGTTTATGCAGCGCCTCATTGTGTTGAATTTGTTCTCCTCTCAATGATTGCTTACTGTAATTAGTGTTGTTGCAAACTTTCCCACACAACAGTGTTTTAAAACTGTCTGAAATTATGATGCTGGGACTTAGTGAGGCTTTTAACACAAATAGCTGGAGAAGAAGATTGGATACAAGCTTTTATTAGTATCAACATTACAGAAGAAGGAATAGAGCTCTACTTGAAGATCAATAATTCGCTGGGAATTATGTCTTAAAGGAAGACTTGCTGTGGGCTGATATAAAATCCATGCTTTTTCGACTGTGTACAGATGAGCTGAATGGGGGTTTCAGGTAGCTGAAAGACTGCAGGTTGTTGAAGATGTTGACTAAACAAAGTGAGCTGTGGCCAGGCGGCTTTAACTGTGTGCCCTCCGTTTTCCCACTGTTAGAGTTACTGATTTCAAATAGCTTATAGTGAAATTCCAAATCTCTTTTTGTTGTGATATGATTAGATAGGCAGTGTTTCCTCCTCTGACCTACAGTGCATTTATAATTACTTTCTGCTTTTGTAAACAGTCCTTGAGCCTGTGTTGCTGGGCACACGTCTGTAAATGACAAGAAAGGGCAATTCTTTGTACTCTTGTCAGTTCCTGTATTTTTATATATTAATACAATAGGATGTGATAATAGGAATTTTTTTATGGAAACCAGAACACCTTGGCAGGCTAAGTACGAGGACATCAACTCTAATCCAGGGCTTTTCTTGTCTAAGAACTAGCTTTTGAGGAAAAAGTCATACTTTCTCTGATGCAATACCTTGACTTCAGTTCTCTTCTAATACAGTAAACGAAGGATGAAGCCGGGAATGATTATTTTAGCTGATGGAAAATTACTTTTAGGGGGTTCCGACAGCACGATTTGTTTAAAAAGCCTGTATTCCTGTCTTTTTTTCTTTTAAGCAGTAAACAAAGGTTCTCTTACATAAAACTGATGAAAGGTTAAAGGATAAAACCTCTTTGTTGGAGGGTAAACTTCTCAATATGCAGGAAAACTTTGGTAAAGTAACACCAAGCCTGGCTTAAACATGGTTTTCCTGACTCTGTAAAATGACAGTAATACATCTAAGCATACAAATATGCTAAATTGGTATTTATGAGTAAAAGTATACATGACAACCAAACCAAAGTAAGGACCAAAGTAGCCATAATTACTTTTTATGCCTCATTTATTTGCACTACTCTTATTTCAGCTCAGTGTCAGAGTAATTAGGTTACTAGATTAAGTTGTCATTTACACTAGTTGCTCTTCTTCCTGCTGTCACTATGAGTACTCCTCCTCACACATATCGGCATATTTTTATGCCTTTAACTTGTCAGTGTGGTTCTTCATGAAGATGGGGATATGTTACATGAGTTGACGGGGAAGGCTTTGCCTGGCTGCTTCTTCTTCTTCTTCTTCTTCTTCTTTTTTTTTAAACCACAGTTTACAGTTGTGAATGAAACTATTATAGATACAGATATTACAGAAGCTATAGATGTAGCAGCTATAGATGTAGCAGGTGCTATATCCTCATGTCAAATAGTCTGACTCAAGGGTCAAGGAAGCAGACTCAGCAGACATTTCGGGTTCATTTACAGTGACCACCATTATATGTGAAACTGAACAAACCTCCCCCAAATTAACTTAATTAACAAAAACCAAAAAGCAGATGAACTAGGTAACATAACACACCTCTATGTGAGAATCACATAAAGCTACTTTTCTGATGGCTCTGTATGGAAGGAAAATATTCAAGAAATCACTTTGTGTCCTGAAAAACAAAAGGAAACATTCCTATGAAAAAAAAACACCCCTCCTTTTGGGTTAACTTGTTGATGTCAGTCATGACATCATCAGTACTTTAAAAATCAGGATATGTGGAGCGGGCCTTTCCCACACCTGACATACATGAAGACTGAGAATGAAGAACTAGTGTCAGTATGCACAAATGAGTCAATCTGCAACATAATAAACTATAAAGCAACATGGGACCAAGTATTTGCTTTAATCTGCTGAATGTTTGATTTTGACGTCAACATAATGCTTACACAAACAAACCTGGGATACTAAGTGTAGCAGTGTTACTCTGACAATAGCAAATCATAGCGAATAA